TCACACACTGCCAAGTGGAGACATGTCCCGATAAACATGACACATTTGATTTAGCACTGTCAGGGATATTGGCTCTCTATAGTCTCTGCATAATTTCTGGACACATGCCCAAGTGTATTAGTCCGTATTCTGTTACTATCACAGAACACCTAAGACTGCGTAACTTTATAGAGACAAGAGGGTTATTTAGCTCACAGCTCTGGGAGTTCTGGGGCATGAAGCCAGCATCAGGTCAGCTCTGGTAAGGGCCTCATGGCAGATGGCATTACAATGGTGAGAGTTTCTAGAACAGGAAGAGACCCCATTACAAAATAGGAAGTCAGAGAGAGACTAGGGTTCCCACTACTCCTTCCAAGGGCACACCTCACTTTACTAAGGACCTCCCACTAGCGATCCCTCCTTAAAAGTCCCACCACCTGTTCACGCTGCCAACACATTAGGGGGACACACATTGCAGGCCACGTATCCAGAAGGACTTGACAGTGCCACCAGGCCCTGGCTATCATTCCTATAGACAGTGCCTCAAAGGAACTGTACCTGTCAGCTTAGTTGACAGCTTGTGCTGCCTAACAGACGAGCTCTGAACTCTCAGTGACTTACACCAAGCATGCGGCATTTCCCACTCAGCAAGACAGACCCACAGCTGGTGGGCTATGACTGTGGGCTGCTTTATCTTCTCAGGAGGAGAAGCCCCTGTCTGTTCTTGCTGGTCCTGACACAGAGAGGTAAGATGGTGGGTCGCTGGCCTTTGCTATCCTGCCAGTCACACCTCACTGACCAGAGCAAGTCACACTGGCCAGGTCTGACAGCAACATGCAGGGGATGCAGAATCCTCCCGAAGGACTGGGCAGCAAATATTTGGACAATAATGCAATCTACCACAGGGACAACTGGACGAAGAACTGACCAACCGCTCAACCTCTTCATCCCCAGCTAGGTCAAACAAGGCAGCACACTGAGATAAAGCCACAGTTGTCAGTGTGAATTTTTAATTAGGCTTTGACCTCATCACATCCAAGCTGTAATGAGGGCTTTGCATTTTTTGTTGTTGTTGCTATTGTTTGTTTTGAGAGACAGGCTGGCTTCAAACTTGTGATCCTGAGTAGCTGGGACTCCAGGCATGCATCGCCACGCCCGGCACTAGTTTTGTTTTGTTTTTTTATTAGCCTAAAATTGGTGGCTGATGTGGTCCACAGAGAAGCATTGGAACACCAGTGCTTTGCAACAGGAAGTCTCCCTCATTGCTGGGCGGATGCAGAATGGTTGACCACTTTACGAGACAGTTTGGTGGTTTCTTAGGAAACTGAACACTCTTGCTGTGGGATCCAGCAATCATGCTCCTTGGTTGTGTTCAAATGAGCTGAAACCTTGCATCCATGCAAGAAACTGCAACTTTATTCATCATTGCCTGGAAGGCAGCCTTTCAGGGGGTGAATGGGTGGACAGGCTTAGGACATTCAGACAATGGATATGGGTTGTGCTAAAAATAGAGACTACCAAGCCAGGGGACAACGTGGGGAAACCTTGAACGCATAAGGCTAAATACAAGAAGCCCATCTGAGCAGACAGGCTGCTCACTCTGACTCAATTACCATGGAATACAGCGAAAAGACCAGCACTCGCCGGGGGCCAGTGGGGAGGGAGGCGTGAATAGGTGGAGGATTTCTAAGATAGTAACAGTACTCTGTGTGACACTGTGAGGGCAGACATGGGACATCACACATTTGTCCAAACCCATGGAATGTCCAACACACCAAAAGTGAACCCTATCATAAACTACCAGCTTTAGTTAATAAAAATTCATCAAAAAATAAAAAGAAGCCCATGGCTCACGCCTGTAATCCTAGCTACTTGGGAGGCTGAGATCAGGAGGATTGGGGTTTGAGGCCAGCCCAGGCAAATAGTTCTCCAGACCCTATCTCCAAAATAACCAGAGGATCTTATGTGGGGGAATGAAGAAAAAAATAAAATAACAAGAGCAAAATGTACTGGAGGATGTCTCAAGCAATAGAGTGCCCGCTTTGCCAGCGTGAACCCCTGAGCTCAAACTCCAGTCCCATCAAAAAAAAAAAAAAAAAATATATATATATATATACAAATAAATATAAAAGACACTCTAAGCAGTCCTCTTAGGGTAGCATCAGAGCAGTAGCCAGGAGGTTGGGTGTGCTGCCTTGCAGCTGTATCATGGGTGCTCAGACAGGGCTGTGGAGAGAACTGACACAAGCCCTGGGTGACACGAGCAATTGAGGCAGGCAGTGGCCCGAATTACATCCTATATTCAGAAGGGGCTTGGGCCCGTTGCTCACAGCTCCCTGGGAAGACTTCCTCAGATCTGCCATTGGGTTCAGCTTTGCACTGATTCTAGAAATCTTGGAGGCCTTCCACGGCTGCTTCCCTGCCCCCACCCAATCCATCAGCAGGTTCCAGTAGTTCTCCCACTAGGTATGTCTCGTAGCATCCTCTGAATGCACTTCCATCCCCTCTGGCTCACTATTCCAGGGACACCCCAAGCCTCAGGGGGGTTTCCTCTGCCAACCCCAGTGATCTCCTGCAGTGAGCAAGTGTCACCTGCTAGGAGCTGGCAGGGGTTTCCTGGCACTCCTTGCTGAGGGAATAGCCTGCTTTACAGTTCTGTCTGCCACACCCATCACCTTCATGTGCTCTGTAACTCATTTATGGGTTTATGATGTCCAGGAGCAAGGAAGTGTGTCTTTCATTCTTCCTGTGTCCCTGATGTCACAGTAGTGTCTGGCATGCAGGGACTCTTGGGATACTTGCCACCCAGAATCGTGCCTCTCTGGCCACAGTGTCCTCCCAGCCCTGACTGGCTCCTGTTTATTCACTCAGCAGGCCAGCATAGCTCCCCTTGCTTCCACTCCTCCAGGGGCTCCCTGCTGCCTGCAGACAAAATCCAACCTTTGACCAGGCCCCTCAGGCCCAGAAAGTGACATGGGGGCATGGAGAAAAGGACAAGAAAGGCAGAGGTGGCAGGCACACCCCAAAGTGCACTCTCATACTTAGTGCAAGCCTGTGTGCTAGCCCAACACCCACCAGCCTGGTGCCCCTGGTCACAGGGAGACTATGCAGCCTCCTCTTTCCTGCCTCAGCCTGACCCTCCGGCACCAATACACCAGCTTCCTCTGTCACAGAGCACCCCAGCTCAAGACCTGCCCATCACTGCCCAAGGCAGCCCCTCTTCAACCCCACTGTGTGGTCACCCCTTTGCTGGTTTGTAGATGAACAGACTTGCTGCCCATCTGCTCTGCCTGGGTCCTGGGACAGAGCAGGGTGATGGTTCTATTTTGGGTGCCTGAGGAAGCAGGGATCAGGCAGCCATGTGGTTCAGGCAGCCAGCTCCTTCCCACTCTGCAGGAGGACGGGGGCTCACACACTCATACCTGCTCTTGTCAACATAGGAAAGGAATCTGCTAGCAATGCCATCAGATGTCATTATTCCTCAATAGGAGAGTCATAGGACACCACAGTTGGATACCACAGGCATGTCTCAGCCCAGATGGGGAAACTGAGGCCCCCCTGAGAGAAAGAAGGTCTTGCCTAGAGTCACATAGGCCCAGAGTGACACCTATGACTCACTCACAATTCTCTTTCCCTATGGATGGCCTTCAGGTGTCCACTGTAAGATCCCATCAGGGGTAGAAGTCCTCTATCCCAGCAAGGACAAGGGCATTCACCTTTGTGGGTCCCACCCACACCCCGCCCTCCCTGCTTTTGAGAAAGTCACCCTAGAGTAACATTGGAAAGTAGGGATGCAGGTAGGTGCACCCCCAGGTTCCCAGGGCCAGTCCTGTGAGCAGAGCACGGGACAGAGCCCGGCCAACCCCGCATCAGAGGTTCCTCGGCAGTGTATGTGGACTGTGAGGGAGGCAGTGCCCCAGCAGGCTCTGTCACCAAGAACAGCTACTCCTCAGGTCACATCACCTTGAAGACCCACTGCCTACTTGCCAGGCTCTCGGCCCAGTATCCTCCCTGTTCATGCCTCTGCTGCCCCCCACCCTCAGTGCCAACACTGGCCTCCACGTCAGAGAGGAAGGGACTCCGTCCTGGGCACGATGTGAATTGACGCCAGGTTATTTCCTGACTGGAGCAATTCGAAGCCCTGAAGCCAGGGCCGTTCTCCTCAGCTCTGACTCCAACTCCAGCCTGCTCTTGGCAGGGAGAGGGTATTTCTCAGGGCTGACCCCAGCTGGGCCTCTCAAGCCATGGGGGGGGAGGTTAAGTTAATTATACATCTACACGGATCTTGAAAATCTTGCCCAGTGTATACAGCCCAATAATGTCCGCCACCTTCCTCGTCCACTGACCCAAGACACCAGCAAAAATACTGCTGGCCGATCTGGTTTTGCTATTTTCTGTCACCCTTTCCATATAATATCCAAGGTTTATAGGTCAGCTATTAAAAAAACAAACCTCCCCTTTTTGCCTAAAAGGGGGCACTTTGAAACCTGAGGGCTGATGGGGCACACAGTTTATATGGGAGTGGTCAGTGGCCAGGGTTATGGAAGTTGGTTGTGGTGCCCCCCCCAGGCCATAATGTACCCATGGGGGACTCTGTTCCACCAAACAAGGGGACCCTGGAGCAGCTGGGGCTCTACCTTGGCAGGGCCTGACTGTAGTTTAACCAGGAGTGGGGGAGGGTGTTGGTGTAACCCCCACAGGTGCCCACTACAGCCCCCCTCCCCCTCCGTGCTGGTGGTGGCAATGGAACAGGAGAATCAGGGAGCCGGACTAGACACTTGGTTTCCAAGTCCCAACCACAAGTGCAGTGAAAATGTAAGGCTGTGAGACAGCCCCCTTCCTTTTAGGCAGACCACCTGCCAGAAGGTGGGTGATATTTGGCTGCCCCCCTCCCTACCTCTGCATCCCCCCACCCTACCTCTGCCCCCGCCCCCGCCTCCGCCAACAGAGGTCTATCTCTATCCATCCCCCATTTTGGGGGTGCAGAGGTGCACAAGAACAAGCAGACTGGGGATGCAGCATGTTGGCCTCTTTATTAGAACCCGGCGGACGAGGAGCCGGGGCAGTGGTACAGATGGCTCAGGAACCATTTAAACACATTGGTCTTCAAGTTCAAAAGAGTAACAATAATAAGAGCAACAGCGAAAGCGTGAGGAAACCGCAAGCTAGGTGGGCACGCGTGGCAGCTAGTGTGTAAGGACAACTTTCCCTAGGGTCTGCTATAAAAATTAATTTACATTTGTCAATGACCTGATGCAAGTGGATCTGGAGCCTTTGGTATAACCAATAACCGGGAAAGTCGCGTGGCAGAGAGACCCACGCCAAGACATAAATAGAGAAGATAAGTTAGTATAACTTTAAAAACTTTTTGTACAAATATACATGGTTTTTTTCTTTTTTCCTTTTTTTTTTCCTTTTTCTTTTTTTTTGCACTGAGTTTCAGCAGAGATTAAACATTTTATATAAATGACTCTTAAAGCTTTTACACCTTGGGACCAGAGTACTCCTTGTGCAGAATACATTTAGATATAGCGACGTTATCAATACATTGCACAATTTGTAGATTTTAAACAAAACCGAAGGCTTTTCGCATTCGCCGCCGGTTAAGGTCCCAGTCAAGGCCCAGAGTTCTTCCATCGTCCGCTGCCCAGCAAAAGTCCCCCTCGGGCTCCGAGGGCTCTAAACTGCAGGGAAAGGGGGCGGTGAGCAAAGACGACCCAGACCCTGCGGGGCAGCCCCTCCGCGACCCTCGGGGTGGGGGGGGGAGGTGGTGCTGGACTCACCTAACTCATCGGAGGCGCTTGCGCGGGGTCTGCTCCGCCGCGCCCACCCCTGGAGTGCCGTTAGGGGAAGGACACCCCGCAGGAACATCGCCCGACGACTTGTTGTCCGCAGATCTCTTGCGCTTGGCGAAGAAATCTGCGGGCGACAGCGCGCGCGGCCGGTCAGGGCAGGGCGGGGCGGGCCGGGAGACCCGAGAGGGGGCCGGGAGAGGGCGCGGGGCGCGGGGACTGGGGTGGGGGCGCCGTCCCCGCCCGCGCCGAGGTCCGCGGCGGGTCAGCTTTGTTTACGTCGCCGCGCAATGTGCTGTGTAAGCATTTCCCCTTGTCCCGCGGCCAAGCCCCCCGGGGCCGCCGCCGCACTTAACCCCCTCCGCGCCGTGCTCCCCGCGCCCGGTCGCGCCTGGGAGGGGCTCCCGCTGCCAGGGCCGAGGACCGCACTTGGAGGGGGTGGGGGCCGGGCTCCCCCTCCCTTCGCGCCCTCCGGAGCCGCGGGAGAGCAACAGGGGAGGGGGGTGTGGGGGCAGCCGCGCCCTGCGCGCTGCGGGCCCTTTAATGCCACGGGAGGAGGCGGGGACCGAACGAGGCCCCCGTGGGCTAAGGGAGAGACCGGCCGGCCGGACAAAGCGGGGCCGGGCCGGGGCGGGGCCGTGCGGGGCTCACCGGAGATGAGAGGCCCCGACAGCTTCTTAATCGCCCCGCCGTTGGCGCCGGTCGCAGCGGTGCCGGCCGCGGGACGTCCCGGAATCCCCGGGTGCAGCTGGTCTGCTATCGGCTCCTGGTTGCGCTGCGCCTGGTTCGCGCCCTGGTCGGCGTTGTCCTGGGGCGCCGCGTCTGGAGCTGGGTCCGGGTCCGAAGCCGGTTCTGAGGCCGGGACCGGGGCCAGAGCCACGGCCGGGGCCGGGGCTGGGGGCGGGGTGGGCACCGGGGTCGGGGCGCTGGGCGGCTGCTCCGGCGCCTCCTCGAGGCCGTCGAGGGACTCAGAGGTCGGCGGCTCGGGAGGCGGGATGACAGCCACAGCCACCGGGGGAGGCCGGGGCGCCAGCAGCAGGCGACAGCGCCCCACCTGCACCGTCTCGCGGTAGAAAGCAGGCACGGACTCGCTGTCCACCTCGGTCCACTGCAGGCGCCCAGGGCCTCGCAGTGGCACGTCCTGCTGGAAGTTGAAGTCCCAGCGGTTCTGGTCCTCGGCGTTCAGCTCCGCCAGGCGCATCCGCAGCTCGCGGCCCAGCTCCTCGTGGTCAACAGGCCCGAAGAGGCTGCGGCAGGCGCTACTGCGCGCCAGTACAGGGAAGGTTCCATTGGACACCAGGCGCTCCATCGCTGATGTGCTGCGAACATACACGTCGGACACGGTCGGGAGCTGCACGAACCCGGGCAGCAGAGAAGAGAGGGGAGCGAGAGAAGGAGGAAGAGAGGAGAGAAGGAGGGCGAAGGCTGGGCACGAGTGGGATCCCGCGCAGCCCAAGTCCGCGTTGGCAAAGGGACGCGGCGGGAGGGCGGGCGCGGCAGCTACCTGGCTGTCTAGTGGTAGACGGCTCCTGTATCTCGATCGCTTGTCCTGTCCGGCTACAGCCGCGCCCCCTCGAAGGTGGTTGCCTGCTCGCTCGATCGGGCCTAGCCGGCACCCCTCGAGCACAGCGCACTTGGCCTGTGGAACGCCCAGCCCGCCTGCGCCCCCTTTATACGCGCGGGCCCCACCCCCCCGCGCGCGGGCCCCGCCGCGATTAGCATAATGTAGTATTTTCAGTTTCAACAACACGGTGGCGATTGGCTGCCCCGCGCTGCCCCGCCCCCGAAGGTCCAGCCCCCGCGCGCTGCGCATTGGCCGCGCTCACACACCCCCGGGGCTGGGCGGGGCCCGTGGCGGGCGCCGGCTGATTGGCGGCCGCGCAGCGAGCGCGCTGTAGCGGGGGGCAGGGGGCGGGGCGCGAGTTAAAGGGCGCTGCAGGCGGTAACGTGACACCGCGACGCCCCGCCCCCTCGCCCCATCCCCCCCCTCACTCCCCGGCCCCCCGCCCCCCGCCAGTTCCTTTGTCTGCAGGCGGGGGCTGCTTTGCCGCTGCGCGAGCGCCCCCTCTGCCTGCGCTGCTGGGCACGGCCCCCGGCGGTCCCGGCTTCCAGCCAGGTTCCCCCAGGCCCCCGCCGCCCGTGTTCACCATTGGGCCTCCTGCGCCAGCTGACGGGGCTTTAACCCGCCACTGTCAGCTTGTCCCTGGCTTAAGCGGGACCGGGTCTTGGGGCTGCTCTGGCACGGCCTGCCGCTCCCAGGCTTGTGTCCCTGCCTGCAACGGGTCCGCGCACCTGGAGCCAAAACACACCTGCTGACCCCAAGGCCCTCGAGCGGGGATAGGGGTCAGCTCCGCTGTTTCCCCAAGGGGCAGTTTAGGGGACACCTTGAGAGCCTGAGCCTCGGTCTGAAGCCTGATCTGTGGGCCCACCTGCCCAGTTGATGGAATACGGGGCTGAGCTCATCCTGGGCTGTGCCCATCACGGCACTAACGGTGACCAGCTCCTTCAGGCTTGGTCCGGGCCACCCCTTGCCCAGGATCTGCTGCCTTGGCTAGCTGGAGAAGGGGAAGGACCTGCCTGAGGTCACCGGGGAAAGGCGTATGACGGACCTGCCCCTCCCCCACAGCAGCGCTCTTGGTGCAGCCCTGGAGACGCACAAACTCCGGCGGCAAAGGAGACCATTATTTTCTGCCACCTTACTAGGGAGCCCAGGAGAAGCCCCTCACAAGCTAGGAGCAGCCCAGGAGGACTGGTGAGGACTGCCGAACCTCCTTGGAGAGCCCTGCAGAGCCCTGAGCTCTCAGCCCCTTGGCAGAGATGACTCTGGGAAGGAGGGAAAGTGAGGCCCTCCCGCCTCCACGGTCAGGTGGGTTGGGGGAGCAGGGAGGGGTGCAGTGATAATCTGCAAGGGGCCCACAGGAGGTCTTCCCAGCTTTGAAGGGAGGGGACCTGGAACAGATGAGACACAGGGTGGCTCCATTCTTGGCTCCTGGTGGCAGGACCAAAGGGTGTGATTTTCCAGGATTTCTTTATTTTTCTCTGTACAGAGTTCCCACCACAAGCACAGATGTCACGATTTTTTTATCTTCAGGAAAATAAAGAGAAGCTGACGAAGGCTTCCAGGGGCCCTGTGAAGCCCTCAAACAGGGCTGATATCAACTGGCCTGGGGTCAGAAGGAGGCCACAGCGGCCTCCCCAGAGACCCTGGGCACAGTGCCACAGTGACCACATGGCCCCCAGGGTCTCCCAAATGGTTGGGATGCCCAGGCTTTAGCTGTTCAGGAAGGAAGAGTGAAAAAGGCCCACTCCCCACTCCACAGCCTGTGCCAAACACTGCTCGGGATGGCGTTTTGCATCCCCTTTCTCAGGGACATTCATCTTACTACATCCTATTTTATGAGACAAACAGCTTCGATGCCCAAGTTAACTGCTGAGGCCACACAGATGGCAAAGAGCAGGGCAGGGCTGGGACCCCCTGGGCTGCCTGGCCCTCTGGTTGGTTTCCACTCAGGCTTCCTACTTTTATTTTTCTGCTTGATCACCTTAATTGCGGACTCGAACCAGGTGCGGTGGGACTACCCCTCTCTGGGCCTCATGAGCACAGGGAGGTGACTTTCTCTGTCTGTGACTGCTTTCCATGAAGTCTGGCTAAACCTACTGATCCCAATGAGTGGAGCTGAGTTCCCCCACCTGGGCCAGGGACACAGCTGGACTCAAGAGCTGGGGGTTGGAGCACCTAGAGGAGGCCCAACCCTCTACCCAAGGGGCCTGGAAGTGAGCAAACACCTGGCTGGTACACCAATCAAGTTCTATTTTTGTAATTAAAAATACATCCAAAGGAAAAGGAAACAAAAAAAAACAGTATTTGTACTCTGTTGCTACAGAGAGCTGGAGCATGGGGGGTACTGGTCCTGGAGAGCCGGGCTGCTCTAGTGGCCCAAATCGGCTTGCATGGGTGGGGGGGCCACTCGTGGGGGTTGTAAACTCTGGGATCCCCTGCCTGGCCCCTGCTGAGCAGTGTGCTGTTTTTCTCCTGCAATCCTCGCCCATGTCCGGCAGCAACAGAGCACTCAGCCTGCTTGCTTTCTTTGCACACAGAAAGGCCACATTTCCCAGCTCCTCCGTGTCCAGGTGGGGCCGGGAGACCGGTGTTGGCCACAGAATGTTGGCAGAAGTGTGCGAGCACCGCTTCCAGGCGCAGCTCTCCAAACAGTCTGAACAGTCCTTCTGCACCCCCTGCTGGCCAGAAGGGGGCCCAGGGATGGTGGCAAGGTTCCTCAGTGCCCCCGTGAAGACAGGGCAGCCCCGCCAGCAAGTGGCCTGGCATACCCACATTGCCAGTGACGGGGGCCAGGAGTAAGCTTAGAAGGGCTGGATGCAGGTTTGAGCCCCAGCACTGCAAGAAAAATAGTGTGTGCCACACCACTAAAAGCATGGGTTTGACTCTCGGTGGGTGGTGTGGCTGGCACCTGTGTCAGGTGTAGCTTGTGATGTTGAGGAAGCGGGCTGGGGAAGATTAAAACCGCGCTCCAGCTCCCAAATGGTTGAGGCAGGGTTAACCCACCCAGTCCTCTCTTGCTCACTTGCTCACTCGAGGTCTGTTTCTGAGCCCTAAGACAGGAAAGATCCAGAAGTAATCCCATCCAGCACCCCCCCACCCCCGCCCTGGACCTTTGTTCTCAGGGGAGACTCAGGCATCAAAAACAACTCAGTTCCCATGCCTGTCCTCATAACACCCCCCACGGTTTGTCAGTCCATGTTGTGGCCCAACTTACTCCTACAGGAACTGGAGCTCCCACAGGGAAACGGGGCCCACGGTCCCCAGCCCAGGAGTGGCAGCGCTGGGCAGGCTCAGGAGACCCTGTCCTTAGCCTCATGCTGCCTCCTGGTGGCTGACCTAGGGACCAGCACCTTCCCTGGCTACTCCACAGCTCCGTTTCCTGTGGTGGCTCTGGGCTGTGTTCCTGACATGGTCATACACCCCAGCTGGTTTCCTGGGGACAAGGAATGGCTGTTCCCTGACCCAGAACCCTGGGGAACCCAAAAATCTGAGACATGGGTACCTGGCCCTGGACTCCTCCCAGAGGGTGTCCAAGGGTGGAGGTGGGAGGGGGCTCCCCTTGGACACTGAGTCAAGTCTGCCTCAGGCTGCCTCCCTGGGTTCTAAGACCCTCAGCTGTCTTTTCAAGTCAATCGAGGCCTTAGAGAATTTTTCCACCGAGCCACAAGCCACATATCAACCAGCCATCGTGGAAGTTGGGAGAATGCAGGCACCCGGTCAAGGTGAGAAGGAGAGAGTCAGGGGGCTGGGCACCACACACTACTCCTTCTGAAAGCCCACTGGGTCAGGGGCCATCTGGAGAGGGTGACCTCCCAAAGTTCTCCTGGCAGTCCTGACCAGGGTGGTGGGGCAAGCCAAAACATGACAATTCTAGCTGTGGAGTTGTTTTGCTTCGTTTTTGTTTTCAGGTGTTTTGGGGTCAGGTCACTCTCCCTCTCTGTGTAGCCCAGGCTGGCCTGGGGCTCTCCATCCTCCTGCCTCAGCCTCCTAAGTGTTGGGATTACAGCACTTATCAGGCCAGATCTAGTTATTTCAATCTTGATCTTGTGCCCGCTCAGGGCCCTACCCTGCCCTGCCTTGGGGCTGAGTTCCTTGCCTCTTTTTATCTTCCCAGTACCCTACAGAAGGAGCCTTTCTTTAATGCCCATTTTTTCAAGGGAGGAGATAGAGGCTCAGAAAAGTTAAGCAACTTGCCAGAGATCACCCAGCAGTCAAGGGCAGCTGCTGAGACTTGAGGCTGGATCTGTTTTTCACATATCTCCAACCCCTGGAGGGGATCTCTGATATTCCCCCACCCCAAACCCTGGGGCCAGGGCAGCACATCTTACAGGGCAAACCCTGCCAGGGACAGCTGACCAGGGACAGCCACCTCTTTGGCCTCAAGCCACCCGTGCTCAGCAGCAGACGCTTCGACTGGGCCCTGGACAGAGCTTGAGTGGGCTCTGCCTGTGACGGCTGGAGCCCCTAGGAAGCCCCTGCCCCTGGAACCTCCACCTCCTGTCCCATAAATTGGGGTGGGGAGTCACCGGTTGCAGATTAACCCGCGGCCCCGAGCACTTGGCGGGGCCCCAGTCGGGCGCAGCGCTAACGTCCCTCCTGCACCACTTCCCGCGCTCGGCTCGCTCCGCCCCGGGACGGGCTGTTCTCGGGGCGGCTGCCAGGCACGTCCTCCGCAGGTGACGCGGCCACATGCGGCACAGGCTCCGATTACAGGGGCTGCCTTGTGCTCGGGTCGGGCCGGGGGTCCTCACTCCCCGAGAGGGAATGGGCAGGCCCTGCGGGGAGGACGAGGAAAGGAACAGCCACGTGCAGGGGCCGCCTCCCCCCCATACACACACCCTGGGATGGAGGAGGGGGCTGCCTCCTATCAGCTTGCTGGGTCCTGGCTGGTTCAGGCTTGAGCCTCCTAAGAGACCAGGTCCACGGGACTCCAGAAAGCCCCTCTCAGGGCTGGGGAGGTCCAAAGGGCAGATGGGACCTATGTCAGACCGCCACCCCCCCCACCCCACACACAACAGCTCTGAACACCCCAGGCCTGCCCTCCTCTCCCAGCAGGATTCAGACTACA